TGCTTAGTTTCTGCTCTAGAATAATAGCAATAATACAATGTTATATGTGTGGGGGCGAGATCACTGGTATTTGTAAAAGTATATAATTTTGAATGTGCTAATGTTACTTGACAGGCGTAAAAGTAAACGTCCTCCTTCAGCAATTCCAACACCTACAGATCAAGACTCTCAACAGTATCCAACAGCAAGAGGACTAGTGTCTAGAAAGTAGCTTTTTTACTGTACATATTTACTCTGGGTTACCTGTGTTAAATTACCACAGGGTTCCCAGTAATTCAGTAACCCTTATTGTAATCAAAGGTAGATATTTTATCATATTGAATTAGTGTATGAATGAATTATTATTTGTACAGTACATTTCATATCACTACACTTTATTTAATGTGAAGGTGCTTTCTATAGCAAAGATTCCAAGTCAGCTCTGCTAATGCATCAATCAGTAAGCAWTGTGCAYCGACARCATTTTGTACAACAAAGCATGATGAGAGTTCTAGTCCTTGCACATTTTATATACAGTACGAAAACTGTTTATCAAAGTAACATGTACATTATGATCATCTGGGTGGATGTAGTTTTGAGAAGAACTGTGACTGACGCTTTGAACACCTGTGCAGTAATCATTTTCAGAGGGTGTTAATGGGGTTAACTGACTAGCGCATCAGGCTGTTTTTTCCTAGTCGTAAGCGTATAACTAACGAAGATTTAACTGCTTACCGTTTTTCAACCGTTTACTGACTAAATGACGATTTTTTAACTGTTTACTGACTACAGGCATAACCCATTGACAGCCTCTTTTCAGAGTCAAGTTATGAAACAGTCAGGTTTGCCCTTATACTTCCATCAAACTTTAAAATCTCCCCAAATCTATTTTTATATTTTCTATGTAGAAATGGCACAAACTACTTCAATGTTTTGAAAAGAAAAAGCAAAAACAACTTATGATGACTGTTTTATAGTCTATTATGAAAGTGTGAAAACTACAACTTGCATCATGCTATTTGAAAAAAATGATGTCGCTGCAACTGGCACTCAGCCCCAGTATTTTCCATGGGTTGGGGTAGGAAGTGGAGCATGGTGTTTATTGTCCGATGCTTAACAGTTAATTTAGGGAATAAAATCTTCTACCAGCAGATTGCACTGTTGTCAATGGATAGGGCATATGGTGCTATGGTATAAAAAGTTCTTTTTTGCAGSTGGACGAATACTTTCTTCAGTTCAAAACTAAAACTACTGAATCATTGAAAAAATCAAATAATTAATAATTGTTTAATTTAAAAACATCAATAAAAATTGACCTGCCAACTGAATTTGTTCATTAAACTGYATTTTTGACCTGCCAACTGAATTTGTTCATTAAACTGAATTTAAACCTTATTGATGAAAAAGTCGGTTCCAAAAGGTTACATCACGAAGAATGAAGAATGTTAAGATAACCCTTTAAGTTACAAAAATCAGTTACAAGTTATAAATACCTATTTAAAAAATAGTGCTGTAAGTAATATATAATTGTACAATATGAATGGGCAATCTGTATGTGGATTTACAACCCTCTTTGTGGGTTATGATTTTTCTATATTTCTATGAGTTTTATAATAATTCATGGCTCGTAACTTTAAGAAAGGTTTAGTGAAATACAGCTATCTGAAAATAATGTTTAAGTGCTTGAGTTATGGTGTTTAGGATTGCTTTGTCATCATAAATGAGAAATCTCTACTGTGTACTATAAATAGACAACGCTCCATCTGCGATTGTCATTATCTTTTGGCTTATATCTACCAAAAAGGTAAATTGCAGCAAAGTTAAGCAGACAAAGGCAACTAAGGGTCAAGATACAGTGCGTAAGTGTACAAGGACCTATAGATTTGAAAGTATTTCCAACAACAGCTGGTACTATCATCCCACCAACACATGCACCAACAAAAAGGAACGAGGCTAAACGTCCAGATACTGTCTGGAAAGTGTCCACCCAGCTTAACAACGATCCAAAAACAGATGATGCTGAAATGCCAAGAATAACTGTCCCTAKCCACAGTRTAGTACTTGACTTGACACCACATTCACTGTGCTGTGAGACAAGTATTGCGCTGGCAATAATACATCCTATAATATCAATGAAAAGAATGCTGTGTGGTTTCAAATATTTGGCTAATGCAATAGATGGGAATCGGGAAAATGCAAATGTTCCAAAGAAGGTTGCAGTCAAAAGTGCTGCCTGGTCTTCAGTCATGTGTGGTTTGGACTTTACAGCGAATGTAAAGACAAAGCCACCATAGCTTTCTTCTATTGCTGTATAAAGAGATATGAACATGAAGAATAGAGCAAGCACAGTTCCTGTGAACACTTTGTTGTTGGAGTGACTTGCTGGACGCTGTTGCTCTTTCTCAACTACTTCATCTTGCAGTGATTTAAGGAAAGCACAGACCAAGAAAAATACTCCAGGCAAAATACAGGGTATTGTGCCAAGCCAATAAGCCCATGCCACGCTTGGTATATGATCTTCAGGTCTTACTGTGGTATTTGATGTTGAGGTTGTGACTTCTTTTGGAAGGAGAAATGGCTTGGCAAGTAATGGCGCAATCATGTTTCCAACTGCATAGAAGAAGTACAACATTTGTATGTATGGTTGGGATTTTTTTGGCCAGAGAATGAAGACATAGACGTTACCAGCTGAAATTGGAAAAGTTTCATTGAAAAATAATGTTGCTAAGGGTTGCTGAATAAACAAGTTACAGAAAAAAACCTTTTATTTTGACCTAGAAGTTTTAACATTACCTGTATCAAATATTGCAGAAAATACTGACATAACTGCTCCAATTGCTATCAAAGCAAATACATTTTTAACCAAAGGAAACACAACCATTGACATAGCCAATCCCAATGAAGAACCACCAAGAACTAGATAGTTGTTGTACCTATCAAACAGCCATCCTCCTCCAACAGTACCCACCAAAAACCCAACTGCTTGTGATGTGAACACATATGACATTTGTGCCAGGTCTGACTGTATGTAGTAGGCAAGATCAAGGATAGTTGGACCATACAATGCATTAGAGAGTCCCTGTATCAAAATGAAGACATTTTAAGGAAAAGCCCAAACTACTTTACAAATCTTTTAAAAAACATGGAGTTGTGTGTATAGACTATTATAGTTTGTTCCATCTTTTACTCACCGATGTAAAATAATTACTAGATAATATACAATAATGATGATAGTGACAAATATAATCATAATAACAATAATATTATTATTGCTGGTTAATAATTGCAGTGTTTTTTAAGTTGAGTATGTACTAAAAGGTGTATTTTGTGACTACAGCTAAGTCTTTCACAATCGTTGGCATGTTTAATACATATACTCAGGGATATTACATGGGCGTGTGGAGATATGGATTTTATCTTGGAGTGTTGAAAAGATCCTCACGAGTGAGAGCATCTATTTTATAGACATATGATAAAATGATTTCTTTCGTAGAAGTAAATTTTCCAAAATGAAGAGTTTGTTATTTATATGCCTAAGTTTTAACCCGGGGTGGGGGGGGGGGGGGGGGGGGGGGGTGTACTCCCATATATTTGCTATACGGGGAACGGGGATGTGCCACTGGCCAAGGTATGGTTTTTGGCCTTGCTGTCTTAAACAGGGTTTACATTTCAACCGAAATTGTCAGGCTGTACAATTTAGATAAAAGACCAATATATATTTTTTTGTGTCTTGGACAGGGTAATATTTTAATAAGAAATACTGTTTCACTGTAGCAGGATTAACATGTTATCAAAAACTTCTTATTGTCTTTGATGGATCTCAGTATAATTGCAGTTTTGATGGTTGCGGTGTAGATAGCGATTCCTTGAACAGGGTATGGATTTTTACTTTCTAG